AATGTAAACAAGCAAATTTAATAATCTTATAGTGTAGCCTAAATAAGATATATCAGCAGGAAAATCTCTATTCTGAACTCTTAGAATGGATCATGCTCTTTTTTTAATAAGTCTTAAGACCAACATACAAACCATTTAATGAATTTGTGCAAAGACTTTTGGTCAGAAATATCAATTTATAAATTAGCTGATTATGCTGATGTTAACCTCTGAATATTGCTGCCACATCGAGTTTGGTGCTTCTGTTATATATTTAGAGACTATTGATAAAATACAAAGTAGAATCTGAAATATTATAGGTCTTGACCTGGAATCTTAGCTTCAGTCTATTTCCCATAGCCATAATGTAGTTTCCCAGTTCCTTTTCTACAAATATTTTCATGATAATTGTACTGATGAGTTTTCTTCTTTGGTACTAAACTTTATGAATTTAAGTGCAGTATTAGATTGGCAGCAAGTTTTCATCATTTTATAGTTGAAACAACTGTAAGTTCTATGCTAACAGCTTATTTTACACTTCTTACTTGTGGAACTCTCTTCCATCTTCTTGTTTTCCAGTCAGCTTTGAGCTAATTTAAATAAAATTAGAATCATTATCTTCTGTCTTCTTAATTTCTATTCTTTTATTGTTCTCTCTGCTGAATAATGTTTTTTTCTCCTATTGTCTCACACTCAGTAACCCCTTGTATCTTAGTGGCTTTATTGCTTTGTTTGGAGGTAAAATGATTAAAAACAAATGTTACTATATATTCATATGAGAGAAGAACAAATACTCTCAGCAAAAGCAAAAAGACTAGTAAGTATAAGAATGTTAAATCATTTGCTATTATCATCTTAGGAAGTGGTTAATTTTGTCACTTGCTGTATCTATCTCATTACACAAGATCAAGAATGAAATAAATGTGGTATAAAAACAGAATTACAACTCTCACCAAAAAGACATTATAGATGGAAAAATCTAAAGACAGTAAGAAAAAATTCTAAAAATGTTTAACTTGGTTTTCATACTAAATCAATATTAGAAAAAGAATATATCAGATTCTGATGACTAATCTAATTATGGAATTCTGGTTGATGCCAAATTTTTCTAAATAAACTTTATGGCACATTACAACAACAAAATTTATACTGCTCAGTTGGCAACAAGCATTAACTCATAAAAATCAGTTAAGACTTTCTGGAAAAATACAATGCCTATGATAGACATTACTAAAATGTGCATAAAAACATGCTAAAAATGACTCGAAAAGTTGTCACATCCAAGAGCATAAAATTGGCTTAATCTTAAACAGACAATATTTTTAGTTGTCATTGGAGATGCAAAAAGGATCCACTGGGTAAAAGAATTGATCTGATAATAAATAGATGTTTTTCATAAATAGTCTACGATGAAGACAGCGTCCAGACAGAAAAAAGAAAACAAGTAACAGAAAAATGTATAAATAGTTTCTGTGCAAAATTAACTAGTTAGCTTGGCATATAAACTCAAGTCATCAGCTATTTGTTTCTTGCATCACTTGAGACAAATGAAAAAAAAATCCCATAACAAAAGAAATATTAATTCAGTTTGATTGGAACCTGAAATATTCTTTCAAAGACTGCTTGCCTGGCACTATAGTCTCTGAAATTCTTTTATACTTGAGATTTTTTACAGAGAGATAACAATTCTGTATTGATTGAAAAATAATATTACATCATATCAACAGTGAGGTGAAACAAATGAAAATCATGAATATTTCAATAGAAAAAACAAAACAAAAAAAGTAACATCTCTTGAAGATTAATCATAACATGATGAATCCTTAGGTTTTTCCAGTACGCTCTAAAAATGTAAAAATTCTTAACAGTAACCATAAGAAATGAAAACGGATCCATATCCTCTATTTCTTTGATAGCTCTTCTCTTAAACTTTGTTAAAAGTGTATCTAAATTAATATAGTTGTCTAACAAGTAATAATAATTTTAGGATCATCATGTTAAACGAAGAAATGTCTAAAACTCTGTTATTTTAGAAAAAAAAAAAAAAAAACATTCTAGAAGAAATAAAATTTGATTCCCAATTTAATCCATCAATGAACATTTGCTTTTTATATACTATCACAAGGTTCTTTTATAATTAGTGCAGTTTCACATATGACTTGCATTATTGCAATATTCTTCTATTGCTATATAGTAATAAATATTGCTAAACTCTGCAAAGATATTTTTATGAGGAAATGTTTGCACATGAACTAAAATGTAAATTATGAAATGCGATTCCATTTGACACTTTTTATATAAAGCACATAGGCATAAAATGAGACTGTCAGATTTGCTCATGGCAAACTAGCAGTTTATGCACTAAATGCATGAAATGATGGCAACTTCATAAAAAAACTTCTTGAAATTGGAAGGAAAAAAAACTATCCAAAATATATCTACTTGGTAAATTTTAAGGAAAATCTAATCAAAACTTGTTCTAATGGTTTAACCAGTAATACAGATATTACAAGGTTTTTTGCCTTTTTTATTGGGATTATAGGATTTTATATTGCAAACTACAATGAAATCGCCACAAGTTTATCATAACCAATTGCTGTAGAAACCTACTGCAAAAATTTAAATGTTTTTTTTTCTCTTTATATATTTTATAATGTGGGTTGCCTGTAGTGGTTAGTCTTGCAAGCAACTGAAAGCATTCCTCACAGAATTCTCAAGAAATATGACTTTATGCTAAATTTGTCTATCAACTACCTACAGATGTTAACAAGTTTTTTGGGTTTTTTTTTTAATTGTAACCAATATTTTACCATGACTCAAATTATGAATACACTATTTCAATTTCTATCTGAATTTCTAGGATAAGGCGTTTACATTATTTACAGTCAGACTAATTAACAATTATGCCTTCCAGACTTCTTCAAATGTCTCTCAATCCAGGTAATCTTCAAGAAATTTCAAACTGAAGCTTTTATTAAATCCATGGGGGGTATGTTTTTCTTGTTTTACTGTCCATATCTAGATATATCTTGCTTAAGTGTTCAGTTATTTCAAGTCCTATTTCCAGTGAATCTGAGTATATTCATACTACCCAGCTTGGGGATTTAACTCATACTTATTATGCCACTAAATTCACTAACTGATGCTTTGATCCTCTAGGCCATTGACCATAACAACAAAGTTGAGGAGAGTAGAAGTGTAAATAATGTCAATACTGTCTTCAATATTTTGAAAAATAGCAGTCAGTTTGAAATCATTAAAACTTTCAAAGAAAAATATTTTTCATATTAGAAAATAAGAAATAAAACAATCTTAGAAATTAAAAAAGTAAGATCTTCCTAAAATAGAACTAAAAATGATAAAGAAGTGAATGTTTAGTCACATAAAAACTTGTAAATTGTAAATTATTATTTTGAACTTCTAAAATGAATATAAGTCTGTATAATTTCTTATTTCAAAATTTTCAAAGTTTCAAATACTATTCAAAATATAAGGCAAAGTAAACAATTAAAAAAAAAACATTATTCTTATGACTTTTAATAGTAGGTGACTAATGACCATGGGCATTATATTTGATCAAGTTTCCAGTTTCCATAAGAAGAAAGGACTATTAACCACAAAAAGACAGAATGCATGGTCATCAGTAAGAGACAACTGGAGGTGTTAGCTGTGTACTGGGGATGCCAAAATCAATCAGGTATAGAAATTTTATTATCTGGGTATTATAGTAACAGATGATAGAAAAAGTGACAAAAATGTCTGAGGGCACATAAGTATAGTGAAAGAAGTCTTTCAGAAACTAATAAAAATATTATGTAATATCTAATCTTCTATATGTCAGGTAATGTTGAACGATTCCCTCACATATGAAGAAGAAACTCGAAGCAATAGATATGTAATTCTACTTATAAATGCCAATACCATAGACAGAACATGTATGCAATAAGGAAGTCTTAAGGAAACTACATAGAAACTTATACTTACAATATAAAAGAGACTGTTGAAATTTCTGGAATGCATAATAGGGAGGAGAGCCTAGAGAATTTAACACTTACATGACATAGTGAAGGCAAGAAAAGCAGGGGAAAAATTAAGTAATCTTTTTCATGAGTTTGTGTGAATAGATGACAGAACAGCGACAACAAGGGATGGTAAAAGGTCAAAAAGCACTTAGAACAAAGGACAGGAAGCTATGAAGGGACAGGATCAGCCACATCCAGAAAGGACTTCATATATAAAAAGAGAAAGAAACAGTTTCCATGTCCATGATTTTCAAAAAGAAGTTTCATATTCATGACCTTTATGGAGATGGAAACATTTTATCAACTCCACCTTCAACATTATCACTTATCTATAAGACAACAGCACATTTAAAAAAGTAGATTTTGGTAAACTTGGAATTTTTATGTATAATTGTCCTTTGTAAAATAATAAAAGATCTATCCCTGTTTTAATTGGTTAAATTAAAAGATGCCAAAAAAAAAAAAAACATTCAAAGCAAAAACCTACTTTGCAAGATATGTACTACCGATTAGAATGGGTTTTATATAAATGAAAAGAAAACGTTTGTTTTGATAAAACATGATACAGGCAAAAATTTACAAAATAAAAATGTATCAACAAATGAAAAATAAAAAATATATAGATATCTAATTCTATCCTCTTATTCACTTGATAAAACATTATATTGTTTCATTTATCTTTTTAAGAAGACTTCATTAGTTTTTGAGACTATTCTAAACTGTGTAAAATATATTGGTTACTGAATAAAATACATTTATTACACAGTGAAATTCTGTGAATATAGACAAGTGATAGAAGCAATCATCAAAATGCAATCACATCCCATAGAGTGAAAAGTGTTTTATTTGTTTATATATATTTTAATATACAATAAGCATATAAACAAATATGCAGTGACAGATGACTTTGATGGCTTAGCAGTATAAATAAAATTGTGCATAAAATCCTCGATTTCTTACATTTATCATCTATTATCAGAAAATCATCAAATTACTTACTTTCAGATTGAAAATGTTGATTTCCAATGCGGTCAAGGTAATCTTCCCCAAATTGGTTTACTATAAAAAGAAAAAAAAATGTTTTTTTTGAGTAAATTGTATTTCTTCCTTTTAAATGTAGAAATGTTTCCCTAAGTGATAATTTATTCATCAGGAACATACTATGGAAAAATGACAAGTGCACAAAACAAGCCTTTTGGTGGAACATACATATTATTACTATGGTCTACCCTTAGCAAATCCTGGTATTATTATGTATAAACAAGCAGCTATATTGAAATATTCAAAGAATTTCAAAAGCTTTCCTACAGTAAAGGATTTGCTTCAATGTTTTTCTAATGAATAAATCAGAATTGGATTTCTTCTGAAAGAACCACTAAATTGTTAGTTTTTCTATGAAGGTGTGTTATAAAGTTTATATATATATATATATATATATATATATATAAAATGCTTACTGGAGTAAGCTTAATGTGGGGATCAATAAGGTTGCCAACACTACAGACAGAAAGTGAGTGCTTAGCTGAAAGGTCAGAGCCCTTTTATATAAGTATATACTTTGATTATAAACTTTTTAACCATTTATAATTGTAAATGTAATTAAGGAAATCTAAAATAAGTTCCCTCAATTGTGCAAACATATTTATATGTAAAATATTTCAATTTTTTGGTTAACAGAAGCACCAAAAACATTTTCAGTTACGAGAAAAATTAGAAATGTTGAAGGTATCTGAAAACTAAAATTTTTTTCATAGCAGACTTATTTAAATATAACTATTCCTATTTGTAGGAACTCAGAAAATGAAAACTCATGAAAAGAAAGTTCAAAATTTGGTTATGGCTGTTGCTAATATCAAATTAATATCCTAAGAAAAACACTGAACATAAAAATACTTTGTCACACTGCAGATTATCATAAGATCTCCAGAAAATGTCATGTATTAAGTATATTGGTAATCATTAGATATAATGGTGCACTCTGACCCTTTACAAAAGTGAAATTTAAGGACCTTATTTCATTTTCCAGGCTATTTATTTGTTAAAATATTTAGCCCTCACTTGAGAGTGTTAGGCAGCTTGCTACTGCATAAGATTCAATCCTCTAAAATTGAAAATACCAAGAAAACAAGTGACTTAACGACTCTTACATGTGTAATTATATTTGGTAAGATACAGAAAATGGCCTTCAGGGTTTCATGTTTTTCGTTTATCTTGTAAATCGAATTTCTTTTATTATTTTGAAATCTATCGTGACTAACACTTGCTGTTTGATAGATTATTATATTAATCATATAAGCTTTATGCTCACAGTATTTGTCTGGATTTTACTAGTGAAGATGTTTTAATCATTGTGTGTGGTTGATTCAGATTAATTTCATCACCTGATTCAACCTTATACCATCTGTCTTTCCTTGAAATACTGTTGTATACACACCCTTGGGACAAGATTCAATGACATTCCTAAATATGACAGATACTTGAGGAACTTGAAGAGTACACTGCTGATATATTATTTTTCTCCACAATGATCAGGAAATTAGTTCAGATTAGCTACATACAATAATCTCACATTACTTGAGTAAAAATTTATTTCATGATATAAACTATCATGAAAATATGATTAGCACAATAACAAATGTGAGAGCCATCTATCAGAGGCCAGCTCAGTACTATTAAAACTGTTCTTTGTAAGTATAAATATCAACTCTTAGCATTATGTAAAAATTTACTTGTCTCCAAAAGCTAAAATCAAATCAACTGACATGAACTGATGGTTTGTATGCCAATCTTTGTAGCAACTTCTAGTTATTCTTTTCTTAATTGGTGATTTACAAATGTAACTTTGTGTTAAAAATTGATTTTGTCCAATATATCTACTTACATGACTATCTTCTTGATTCAGATTCTACAAGATTCAAATGTTTCTATGAAAAGAAGCCTGCAACAACAGCTCTCTTTAGATTTTTTATAATAAAAATCAAAGATAAAAGAAGAACTGCAAAAAGCTTTTACTTTTTAATCTTCATTAAAAGGCAGCACCAAATGCTTATTCTTGGCTTTGCTCATGTTTACAGAAATCTTGGACTGCATATACCTGTAACACTCGAGAAGGTGTCTTGCAATAAAGATTACTATGAGGATAAAAGTTCTCAGCCCAATTCACTTCCCAAAATCTAACCAGATCATTAAAATTTAGCATTTTTTCAAATCCATTCTTGGTCAGACCAAGAACCTATCAGCACCTTTACATATGTACACAGCCCACTGCTTTTATCTGAAGCAATTTTTATAGGACTTTGTTATCTTCTTAAATTGTAGGGGCCAGGAATACTGTCTCAATTGCTCAAAAATAAAACTGGAATACATATGAATTGAGATATACATCAATAAACAAACCAAAATTTGCTTGGATTATGCTAAGGTTATGTCAGTGAAACATCCACTGAGGATTGAACTCACTGTTACTAGTTTATTAGACTAGAATGCTGGCCAACACATACATAAGGTCACAAATAGACAAAAAAGAAAGCATGATTGATAGAGAGAAAATATATATAGAGAGAAAGATTTAAGAGAAAGAGGAGATGAATAGACAAAGATTGCAGAATATAAATGAATAGGCAAAGACAGAGGCTTACACATCAAACATGTATTTGAGACAGAGGCAAAGAAGATGACAAATAATACATGCATTTAGAAAAATGTACAAAAAGCATGACATCACTACATAGACATGAAAACATAATGAGATATATTGTAAAGATATACATACATATGTGTGTGCATATGTGTATACATAGAGAGAAGAGGTAGATATATAAAATATATTTTTTTAGTTAAATGGACAAACACATATGATGAATTAGAAATATACAATAGCAAATGAATACATAAATACATGCTGCAAGAATAGACAAATACATGCAGAGTTTTATATATATATATATATATATATATATTTACACACACACATTTTGAGATATTCTATACTCTTTTGATATTATTATTCCAATCCAGTTTCTTAGCCAAACTTTCCCTTCTCTTTGCTTTCAAATATATCAAATAAGCAAAAGAAAACAAAAAGTAAAGATCATCCAGAGTAACGAGAGATTTTAAGATCAGGAATGCCTTTTTTCTCTTTATTTTTGCAATTTTTTTTCCTATCCTTTTCATTTTTTATTCAACTGTTTGCCTTATTTTTCTGTCAACCTCCCCCTCCCACCAATAAAAATACATTTACATTCCCTTTGCATTATGTTTCAGCTCAATGGTTGAATTGGTGAACTAGAAATCTTAGTGTACTGGTTCATCATCAGAATCAAGTTGATTTTCATTTATGCTTTGGCTTTTTTTTTAGGGAATTTTCAGGAGTTTCATTTGGAGAGATAATGAAGTTCTTATGGATCAGAGAAGAATAAAACAGAAAAAAACAACAATAAATAAAAAAATATTTTTTTAAGTTACAAATGTACAAATTTAGGTTAAAGAAAAATACTGACTTTTCTAAGTCCTTTATCAGAAATGTTAATAAAAAAATTGAGAGAGAGAAAGAAAAGGTTTAATTTGGAGATGAATGCTAGGTATATTGCTTTTTGCTTATTCACTTTTTTTGTTTATTTGTTTTTTCTATATTTTTGTCTCTCCTTGCTTTGTTGTATCTTTGCTTTGCCTTCTGTTCTGCATTTTTCATTTTTTTTCTTTATTATAGTTGTTTGTTATAGGCACCTAGTTTACAGTATTTAACACACAGACTTTTTTTATAAGTTACATATAATAACAAGACTATTTTAATTAATACATAATAATGTTTTCATTGCATTGTGTATCATTAATTAGTCTTTACAGAACAAACCTTAGAAAACATGAGGGTGATAAATTTGTTAGAAACCAAATAACATTAGCAGATATGTCAACATGTCTGCTAATATTATTTGGCCAGTTTTGGGAAAATGGGGGACTGATAGTTATACATTTCATTGATAGATGAGCATTAAAAAATGGCTGTTGTTACTATCTGAATATAGAAACATAAATTTACTAATACTTTTCATATTCAAATAAATAATATAAACTGCTATACAAAAATTGTTGTTTTGAAAGAAAAAAGATAACACTTCTACCGATATCATCTGATTTAACATGAAACTGACGATTTATTTAAAGAAAATAAAAAAAAGAAAGAAAAAAGACTTCATAAAAAAATATCTATTCAATTAAAATATTCCCCATTGACCTCTCTACATTTATCTCATATTGGCAGCAAGCCATTAATTTCTTCATTAATGGAAATGCTAAATTTATTGTAAGAGTTCTTGTATGCAAAGAAGTAACCTAGATGGTTTGAAAAAATGATAATTCATGAGAAATGTCATATGAATATGCAAAGTTTTATTTTCAACTGATCTGACTTTCTTAATATTTTTGTAAGAGAAAGTTAGGTATAATCATAAAGCAAAAGGAACATTATTCTCCAAACTGTTTGAATTTGGAATATAGATTTTCAAACTGCTAACAAGAAACATGAACTGTTTGGTCATGTTAAAGAATGCTATGATATATCAAACTACGCCTGCTCTACCAAATAGTCACCATAAGTTTCCAGATGATAAAACAGCTTTGGACGATTTTTTTTTAGTTTCTTATCTGTATAGAATTAAGCCATTTTCCTTGGCTGTTATACAAACCCCACATTTCATTAGTGATGAAGATATAATGCAAAATTCAGTCATACCTTCAAACATGATTAATGCTGGTCAGTATGTCTGAATATTTTATTCTTCAGTCCTTTCAAATGACACCCATTTATTGATCATTTTTCTTGCTAATCACTTTTGAATAGTTTGAAATGTGTTTCTAATCAGTAATGTGAAGTCATTTCTATACCTCAAATCTTTAACCAAGAAAATTTTAGTTTATAAAATTATTTTAAAATGTTTTTGACCAATCTTATTCATTTTGAAACTAAAACCTCCATTTGTAAGTTTTTCAAATCAAAATCTTACCTCATGTACAAAATAGGAAAATGAACTTTCTATATTTGCCTACAAACATACAGTAAAAAAATTAAAGGAATAAAAGAAATTTTCTGAATTTTCAATAAGTAATATTCTTAAAATATCAATGATGTTTTTACAAAAATGAATAAAATTTCAAGCTTTAAAACAAAACTGAGAATTTCATACTACCAAACAACCTAACTAAATATCAACCAAATAAATAAATCTATCAAGAAAGTTCTTGCATTCTTTCTTAGGTTTCTTTAAATCAGTCATCATTCTGACCATAGATAGAGAGACTTGTAATACAGGTTTCACTTCTGTCACTAGCTATTTTACTCTTGAAACAGAAGCATAGTAAAATAATTTCTATCCTACAATTCTTAAGCAGAAAATAACAGTTGGACAAGAAAGCAGGCAGAAAGTTAATTTGAAGTCAATATGCTGGTGATCCCTGAAGATATGATCATTTTTCTAGCTAAGAAAAAAAAAATTAAGTAAATTTAATCTTTTTTTCCTCTTTTGTGAATATAAACACATTTCAATGGTTCTAATTAGCCTCTTTATCTGTTTGAAGATTTAATTTTTTTTCCTTTTCATTCAGCAGTTAAGAATATTTTGTAGTTGAGTAAAATTTGTATAAAAGTATTTTCATGTTAAGCAGAAAATGTTTCTACAATTTTCTTGGATTTAGAATCTGATTTAGAATTAAGATTCTTGGTTAATGATTTGTATCATAAAAATACCTCTTAAGATATGAATTTGCGGACTTATCAAAAGTAAAATGGTGAAATTCTATATTGCTGAGTACCTTTTATATCATTGATATAATCCACAAGTGATTTCAAATGATTTTTGCTTTGATAGCTCTTAGATGATTTAAGATAAAGTAAAATTAAATGTCTTCACTAGTTTTGGTCACCAAAATGCAAATATAAGAAAATGAACATAAAAATTTAAAAGCACAAAAACAATGAGATTAGATTTGGACTTTACAATCATTTTACAACTAGAGCACAATTTCAGGCCAGAGTAGCTATAGTTCATACAGTAAAATCTATCATGATCAAGTAGTATAAACTACTATTAATACTGAATATATGAGTTTTATGAGAAAAACATTAAGATTAAATTCTTAAAGTTTAAGATAGAATTTAGATGCATTTTATACAATGTCTTCAATCACACCTGAAGCAAGTTCTTTTGTGAGAACAAATTTTCAAAGTCATATCTAGGTTTTAGAAAATGTACAATTTTTATCATCATAGTAAGATCTTTTTATAATCAAATTAAATAGAATTATAAATGTCAAATACTAAAATATCTTGTCTACGCAGTTTCCTTTATGAAAGAAAACAAATATGAACAGATATCATATTATAATCTGATGGAATAATAAAATGCCATGCTCCACAATAAATCTTTTAAATTAGATTCATTCCTTATGCCTACTTAATATTATCCCTTTCTATTTTATGTCATAATGAAAAATATAAAACAAATTAGGCTAATTATAATCTTAGATGATAATTCAGCTTGGAAAATACTAAATAATAATACCAATATAAAATTTTAATCATGTTCATAGTTTAAGAAATTTAAGCAATATTTAGCTTTAATTTTTTCTTAGGAAGAAATAACATATTACAATGTTTATCAGTAAGTATTTTTAACAGCAAAGTCTTGTTTTAAGATTTAAAAAAAAAATAACTACATCTATAAAGCCAGAACTTGCAATTCTGGTAGCTACATATCATATTACCATTTTATAACTGTACATTACTGGATTATTTAGAAGAATAAAAGTATAGAAAATACACTATTTGGAAAGGCTCTAAAATTTGTTCAGAGTCATTAACATTCAAAATTTATTCAGACAAGTGATCTACTTTAATGTTCATTGTATAAACAACATCAAGAAAATTAAGGAGGATTTCAACTGTGTCTAAACAAAATTTGGAAAATTCTTAAATTTGTTTATTATTTGGTAATATTAATGATGTTATTTGTTGATATGATTTTCAACATTACTATGCTGCAGTATTAAAAAAATATTAATACATTTAGAAATATTAAATAAGCTGTATTCACAACACGTGACAAAGTTTCATTTTTAATTATCACTTTTTTGGTACACTTTCTATAAAATGCTTACAAAAAACCATGAAAAAGCTAAAATTAGATTTAAAATCTGTCTCCGTATAAACAAGTTTCCTCAAACTATTTCACCATAATTATATACACATACACACGAATGTACAGGTTTGTTTACATGTAAATAAACAAGAGATTTAAATGTTCTAATAACAAGGAAGGAAATACAAAACAGATTAAATTTTGTGTCCAAGTGTCCAGAGAGCAAAAAGAAACAACAACATGGTGACATCTCAAATTATTACTAGTAGTTTAAAGTAACACTTTTCCTGGATCTTCACAAACACAAACTTATGAGAGAAAAGAATCCAATAATCTTGCTTGTATATCATAAGAACAATCAGCTGGAAGTAACAATAGAGAGAAGGAAGGAGCAGTGAATATCATAGGTCTTTGGTGGGGGGGGGGGTATCAATCACGTGAAAATGAAATTAAATGAAAGAAAATGCGAGATGAAAAATCACAAAAAAATAAGTTTATAAAACTATCCAAGCATTTTCACTTTGAGTATCTGTTGATTGTTCTTAAGAATGTTTGTCTTAAATAGAATTTTCAACTCTTTCAGTACATTTCATTCAGAATCATGGCTCTCTGCAGACAAAAATTAATAGTGTATGTAAATGCTTAAGTTCTTGTTTGATTTGAGAATGTGAGTGTGTACATACCCAACTAACAACTAATCTTAACCAGACACTCTTAACAGGGGACATATGGATTAAATTCTAGTGGTTAAACACATATATAGATATTGAAAGTACTTTAATCCTCAAATGAAAAGAATTTGACATACCTCAAGATTTGGTGAGCAAAGTGAAAAATTGCATGTAAAATAAAATGTCAATGAAAGTGTTCATATATGTCCAACTTTTTACATACATGTGCATACATTCATTTAAACCAATGTATAACATCAAAGTAACTGAAAATGTTTTTGTATGTGTAGGAGAGCATATATTTCTGGTATTATAAAATAGTCTTGTAAATCATTAATTAATATTTATTTAGTTATTAGATTCAATTATGTTAATCCTTTTTCAATACAAAGAGAACAAATAGCATAATTATCATTTTTACATCTAAAGACCCAATGTAAACTAATTGTATATACATCAACAACAATTATGTAATTTAAAAAACATACCTTCAGTACAAAACAGAAAGAGGTTATTTGAATGTCTCTTATTTTATTTACTTTGACAGAAATCATGTCTCTGTAAGTGGCATACAACCTGAGACATATAAAGTTACAAACCATATTGCACAACCATTCAGGATGAAGATATGTGGATAAGAGAACATCACAAAAACTTGAAAACCATGTTATGTATGACAGAAAAGTCATCCTTTTTTATTTTCTAATTTTTAAGATCTTATAAATTCCAAAGCAAATACACTATGCTAAGCACAATCTACATGAAGGTTACAGAAAAGCATGTAGTCTCTCTCTTATGGAAGTATGCTATGTATATGCACAAAGAGAGCAAAATGCAAGTTAGAATGAGCAGATACAAACATGACTGAAGGATTGGATTTAATTGAATGATTGGTAAGACTACACCTAGGAAAAGCTATATTAACAAGAATCTTACACAAACAAAAGTTCTTTGATCCATTTACTTCTAATCACTTTATTCAATCAATAACTAAGGCTCATCCAGTTACCTCAGAAAAGAATAAACTGTTCACCATAATATATATGGAAAGCTTTCTTTTCAGTCAAATAAGCAACATCTAACAATTTTCCACTCTAGTTTTGGCTTATAAAGCTGTAAAAATATCTTCAGACATAATAAAAAAGCAACATAGTTTACTAAAAATTTAGAAGAAAATACAATATACCAAACATAACATAGTATATATTAGATGACAGATGATTACCATATCTATCTGAAAATATATTTGCCTCAATAATTTATATATTTAGATACTTACAATGGCAGATATATACAACACATACTTAAATAAATATATATATATTATATATAGTACAGGTAATAGGTCCACTGGAATATAATCCAGGTGGATCCTAGTAATAACAAATATTAAAACTCATCCAAAGAGAGCTCAATGTCTTTAGTATAACAGAGCATATATATATATGTATATATATATATAAAGAGCAAGTTAAATAGTTATACTTGATCTTTAATTACACCAGATTTAATAGTAGCATAATGTATACCAAAATGGACACAAAAATTTGATGATATAAGATTTAATATAACCACTCAAGAGCTGTTCATCATATTGTAAATATACATAACAGTAAAGTTCTTTGTATATTTTTAAATTTCAGTTACATCTAGATTGCCATGGGCCATAAAATTATAATCTCAAAAGAGAAAAAAAGATATAAAGTTATTGAATAATAGAAAAAAAAAAAAAAACTGTAAATTGTGGAAAAGTTGAGATCATACAACAATAAAATAAAATCATCATAACAAGTGGGTGATCTGGCTTATGTTTTTGCTAAGACAGCGACCAGGCCCAAGGATAGTAAACAGCATGTCCCTTTGTTGAGATTTTAGGTAAACAAATGTTTTTATTGACAAAAACAAATTGAGAAATAATTTTTATCTATCACTTGAAAGGTTAAAATGAGGTGATTTTGTTTGTGTTTTTTCACTAGACAAGTGGGTCCAGAAGAGGAGTCAAAGAATAAACCACACCCTTTCTCCTATGCACTTTAAAAATTAGATTTGTCACAAAGACAGTATACCAACTCTGAGAAGTGGGTAAAATTAGAATACTGAGAAGAAAGGAGGAAGGGACAGAATTTGTGAAGTGAATCAGGTTGGAGCTAAGGAAAGAGCAATCCCTATGACTACTCCCAAGGAAGGTGGATAATTCTCCAAATTTGGAAAGTTGATTAAGAAAGCAGAAATAGAAAACTTTATTGGAATTAATGAAAATTGGGGAGTCACCGGATCCCCAGAACCCTTCGGCTCCATGTCAGTTTTAAGCAAAAGTGCATATAAGCAGATAACTTTGGGGAGCTCAGAGACTTTGGGCTGAGGTCCTGTATCGAGTGCTTCTGAAATCCATGTCAGCTGCCAACCAGATTTCTGATTCCAAGGCTTCAAACCTAGCCCTCCAGAAGTTTAGACACAGCCCAGTGTTACTATAGAGATTGATGCAGCAAGGGTTAATTTTGTTGTACCAAAAACTATATAAACCAATTGAAGATTAACCCCACAAATTTTCTCTATTTTTCATCATGAAGATATTTTTTCCTTAATATAGCACCCGCCACAACTTGAACCAGCATTTTATTTTGATCAAAGGAGTCCCAGAGGAGGCACAAACCCCCACTGAAAATTTTTTCCCTTTGATTTAAATTAAAATTTGAACAATGGAACGACACCTATCCAAAATATAGAAGGAGAATGCCAGAAGATGGAGGTCACATTGGCAAGACCATTTTGATCAAAGGGAGTAGTACCTTACAATGCATATTTGCTGCTACAATTCAACTGTCCTATTAATGTTGAAATTTGCCCATCAATTCATCAAACTCCTCCTATAACCATATATATTCTGAAACAGGGTACTTGGATAAGTATTTTCATTTTGATCAAATTCATTTAATCAAGTATTGCATCAAATACATATCAAAGGGGTCAAATCAAGCTGTTTTTGCACACCCCACACCACTGAAAATTTTTTCCCTTTGATTTAAATTAAATGAATGACTCCTATCCAAAATATAGGAGAAAGATGATGGTCACAATGGCAAGATCATTTTTCTCTACAAATTATAACACTGATTTAAAATCAATCATTTTCTTGCAAAAAAAAAATATATATTATAAACTGAAGCTCATAATATATTACTCATATAAATATATCCTGAAAAGTTTTCCAACATTGTTTGATTAATAATAATTTTATTGTTAAACATTGTCTTGCATAATAAAATCTAACAGTGTATATAACTCTACAGAGTTCCACTGAGAAAGTTGTACTCTAACAAGGAAACAAGAAAAATAAATAAATACACCTTTTTGGGATGTAGAAGAAAGAGTCAGCCTCCAAACTATATTTGTTCTTTTGTAAACAGAGAAAACAAGAACAAACACAAATATATTACTTTGTTTTTTATTTTTGTTCTGTGATCTATAGATATTGGAGCAGAGTCCCATGTCCAAATCAAAACACTATTTTTTTTTTGTTCCAAAGTCAGTGACATTCTTACACTCTAACAAATATGACATATATAATCAGTTTCCAATATTAAAATCATTATCTACAGCTTGGTCAGAAAGAAAGAGCTTAATTAAAATTTGAAATATATAGTGATTTATTGAAAATGTCACTATTATCATCACTAAAACAAAACATTAGTACAAGCAAAGAAAATAATTTTTTCATCAATTGATAAAGACAAGCATTGCCATAATCTGGTATAAACATATATCATAGATGACTTCTTAAACAAACTACAGTCCATGTTATTCCATAGATTATTCTATTATACTCATCTTGTATTTCTCCAATAATTAAGCGAATATGTTTCTTCTTAGATTTTCCCTATGATAAGAAAGTGGTACTTGAGTTTTCTCATACCTACTTCATAAAATCAGCATGAATTTTTACCCAATATATTATGTTTCTTTTCAAACTGGCTCAAAACAGTTTCATATTGGCACAAAATTTGCAAGATAGCAAAAAGTACCAAACATATTAGACAACATTTAAGGATTACTTGAGAGGAAGGCTGGACTGTACAGCTAAAGGTGATAAAAACAAAAAGCTGAAGATACTAGTCTAAATAACAATGCAAACATTAATATTTATATTTTTTGTGAAATTAGAAATCCTCTGTAATATATTATATCAGAAATATAATCTAAATGATTTAATTTAGTTCTCTATCACAGCTACTTTTTTCTAATTTGTAGACTATTATTCCAGATTTCATTTTGGCTAATAAAAATTGACAGTAGAAACAATACAACCGAGCTGATTGGAATTAGTTAAGTAGAGAAGAATATGCTATGTGATCCTGATCTGGCATCTAGTCAACAGTTGCTTTCTCACAGATGTGCCATGGCTTCTATGTCTTTTCTACAAGTATTTTCATGGCAACTGTTTCGACAAGCTACTTTCGCTGGTTCCTAGACTGCATGATTTTAAGTGAGCTACTAGGCTGGCATCTCAGTTCCACCCTTTCAATATCGAAACAGTTAAATGTAACCATCTCTTCTACTCAAACAGCTTTTTCTCTTGCACTTCCTTTCTATGGAATTCCCTTCCCCTTGCTTGCTTCCCCGATAACTATATTCTTCAAATATTCAAGTGTAATGTCGATCGACATCTGATACCTTGATCTTCTTCCCCATCCTTCTCTGCATCTTTTCCTCAAACATGCCTCTTTACTCTTGTTC